TGGGATTACAGGCACGCACCACCATGCCCAGCTAATTTTTTGTAGTTTTAGTAGAGACGGGGTTTCACCATGTTGACCAGGATGGTCTCGATCTCTTGACCTCGTGATCCACCCGCCTCGGCCTCCCAAAGTGCTGGGATTACAGGCTTGAGCCACCGCGCCCGGCCACTGTATGACTTCCTTTATATGAAATGTTCAGAATAGGCAAATCCATAGGGCAGAAAAAGTAGATTAATGGTTGCCTAAGGCCAGAGGAAAAGGGAGTGATTGCTGACAGTTATAGGATTGTTTTTTAGGTTCTTTTTGTTGAAGTAGGTGATGAAAATTTCTAAAATTGATTGTGATCATGGTTGCACAACTTTGAGACTATGTACTAGAAAACACTGAATTTCGCATCTTAAATAAATTGTATGAAATGTGAATTATAGCTCTGTTGTTGTTTTGAGACAGAGTCTCGCTCTGTCACCCGGGCTGGATTGCAGTGGCACGATCTCAGCTCACTGTAACCTCCACCTCCTGGGTTCAAGCGATTCTACTGCCTCAGCTTCCCGAGTACAGTAGCTGGAATTACAGGCACATGCTACCACACCTGACTAATTTTTGTATTTTTAGTAGAGATGGGGTTTTACCATGTTGGTCAGGTTGGTCTCAAACTCCTGACCTCATGATCCACCTGCCTTGGCCTCCCGAAGCACTGGGATTACAGACATGAGCCACTGCGCCTGGCCAAAGCTGTTATTTAAACAGGCAGGGAGAAAGGAAGGAAGGGAGGAAAGAATTCAAACCTGCACCACCCAGCTAAGCTGCTTCCAAAATCCTAGTAGAAAATATGTGACATAATGAAGGCTTATTGTTTTAAGCCACTAAATTTTAGGGTCATAGGTTACGTAGCAATAGATAACTAATAAATACATCAGGATTAAAAGAGTCAACTATATTTGTAAGACTGCCATATATACGCAATTAGTCAACATTATCTGGTATTGGTCTAGGAAGAACTAATTAGTGAATGTTACCTTGAAACAGGTGAGCAAAAGTTGCTCAGTCTTGAAGTTCCTGTATTAACTCATTATGCTGCTTTTTAGACACTTTAAGTCTCATTCATATATATATATATATATATATAAATGTATATAAATATAAATGTACATATATACATATACATATATATACATACACACACATACATATACATATTAGATTATAAATTCCTAGAAAGGAAAACTTTTGCTGTTTCTATAATTCCCTTTCACCTATAGCATCCAGAACTTTATTCATCAATGCAATTTATACCTATTGATAACTGATTCACTGATTATTTTTTCCTCTGACATGAAGAGTTAGAGAAAAGCCTTACTTATTGAACAACTGCCTGTAGATGTCACTGCTGAACAAGGGCAGCGAAGACATTCTTTAGTGGCATCAGGACTCTGATAAAATCCTTCTTTACATTCTTCACAGTGATTTCCTTTGCTATTTTCCTGGCAGTTTAAACAAGCACCTAAAAGAAGAGAATTATTTTTTAAAGTTAAAGATGTACCTTGAAAGCCCAGTAACTTTCAAAAATCATGCCTGCAACAAAAAGATTATAAGAAAAAGAAAAATTGGGATTGGATAGAGTTGATTTCTACCCCACCTGATTTCTATACTGGCCATGTCTATGAATTGTGTCCCCTACTAGATTGTAAACTCCTTAGGGAAAGGTGGGATACAGGATTAGTGGCTCAATAAACTCTTGTTGGTTGATCTGACTACATACCAAAAGTAGGCCAACTATGTGCCAAGAAAAAAATTAAAACAATCCAAATGCATATTAATAGAAGAATAGATAAATTGTGGCATTTTCGTAAGTAAACTAATCATATATGCATGAACATGCATAAATCTTTTTTGTTTTAGAGACGGGGCCTCCCAAGTAGCTGGGACTATAGGAGCATGCCATTATACCCAGTTAATTTAAAAATTCTTTCTAGAGACGGGATTTCACTGTGTTGCCCAGGCTGATCTTGAACTCCTAGTCTTGAGTGATTCTCCTGTGTTGGCCTCCCAAAGTTTTGGCATAAGCCATTAGATTAGCCACCCAGCCTAAATCTGAAAAAGAACTTTGGTTGACGGCCAGGCAAGGTGACTCATGCCTATAATTCCAACACTTTGGGAGGCCGAGGCAGGCAGATCACGAGGTCAGGAGTTCAAGACCGGCCTGACCAAAATGGTGAAAGCCTGTCTCTACTAAAAATACAAAAATTAGCCAGGCGAGATGGTGCACACATGTAATTCCAGCTACACAGGAAGCTGAAGAAGGAGAATTGCTTGAACCTGGGAGGCAGAGGTTGCAGAGAACCAAGATTGCGCCACCATACTCCAGCCTGGATGACAGAGTGAGAAAAGCAAATTGGAGAATAACACATACAGAAAGAGAATGCTTATTAAATTTTAAAAACCACATTGAGTGCACTAACTAAATGGTTACAGAATACACTAACCAGATGGATATAAACATGAGGTTAAAAAAAGTGATTCTCCTGCCTCAGCCTCCCGAGTAGCTAGGATTACAGATATACGTCAGCACGCCCAGCTAATTTTTGTATTTTAGTAGAGACAGGGTTTCACTATGTTGGCTAGGCTGGTCTTGAACTCCTGACCTCAAGTGATCCGCTTGACTAGGCCTCCCAAAGTATAAATCTCAATTCTCAACTGACTACAGCAAAATTCCCCCATGAAAGATATCCTCAAAATTTGTTATATGAATACTTAACATTAAATTAAATCAAACTTGTATATAAATATCAACACTTTTTTTTTTTTTTTTTTTTTTAGGACGGAGTTTTGCTCTTGTTACCCAGGCTGGAGTGCAATGGCGCGATCTTGGCTCACCGCAACCTCCGCCTCCTGGGTTCAGGCAATTCTCCTACCTCAGCCTCCTGAGTAGCTGGGATTACAGGCACGCGCCACCATGCCCAGCTAATTTTTTGTATTTTTAGTAGAGACGGGTTTTCACCGTGTTGACCAGGATGGTCTCGATCTCTCGACCTCGTGATCCACCCGCCTCGGCCTCCCAAAGTGCTGGGATTACAGGCTTGAGCCACCGCGCCCGGCCCATATCAACACTTTAAATCATGTAATTTTTAAGGCCTGATAGTGTTAATGATATTTTTCACATATATAACAAAGTAGTATATATTCATGCTGTGGTAGACACTTTAGGTACTGGCTTCTTTCCAGATCTTTTTATATCGTGATCTCTCTTTAGCTATGTATCTTTGCGACAATAAAAACAGCTGAAAAATACATACTAGAAAACTGGAGTTTTGCTCTAAAAATAAAACAATTTTAATTTTCACTTTTTTTCTTTTGATCTGTGTCTTCTTGCATAAAACAATTTTAAAAGTTAAATTGTTCCTCAGGTTGGACATGTCAAAATGTGCATAATGTGTGAAATATGTCTACTTGCTCCCCCCTATTAAAAATGTACAATACAAAAAGTGCTAAGCTTTAATATAAAAATACTGGAAAAAAAAAGCTAAAGGTTCTGCAATAAATTTTGGATGTTTGGGGTAAGATGCAGTCCAATAATAAGTCCTTTGTGCATAACTGATGTAACAAGAAAAGGCCACGTTGCTACTCTTTAAAAAATATATATGTATGTGTGTGTGTGTGTGTGTGTGTGTGTGTATGTGTGTGTGTGTATACATATATATAACTTACATGATAAACAATGCTATCTCAAAAGTAAAAATGAAAGCAAGTATAAAATTTAGCCCAGGACAGCGGCTCACATCTGTAATCCCAGCACTTTGGAAGGTCAAGGCAGGTGAATCACTTGAGCCCCAGAGTTTGAGACCAGCCGGGGCAACAGGGCAAAACCTTGTCTCTATGAAAAATACAAAAATTAGCTGGGTGTGGTGGTGCATGCCTATAGTCCCAGCTACTTGGGAGGCTGAGGTGGGAGGATCACTTGAGTCTGGGAGGTTGAGGCTACAGTGAGCTATGATTATGCTGCTGCACTGCAGCCTGGAAGACAGAGCGAGACCCTGTCTCAGAAGAAAAAAATAATAAATTAAAAAGAATAAAATTCATCGGTTCTTAAATATCCATCACTGCTACATTGCTTTAAGGTGCATGCACCTGAAGTACAACTATAGAGAAAGAAAATAAATTAAAGATAGGCCAGACATAAATAACCAACGTGTTAACAATAGCTGTGAGAGGCAATAGGCCTTCCAGTGTTTTCACCCATCTAGTCTTCAAATTGTCTCCAGTATACATGCCTCACTTTTATTTTTATTATCTTGATTTTTCTTATTGTAAAATAGGACGCTGTAAAATATATACACTTTGTAAAATATTGCAAGAACACAAGCAATTTGAAACACTTCATATACATATTTAAGAATTATTTATTTTTACAATAAAAATAAAGACCATAACGTTTAAAATCTATACGCAGTAGGAACTAATGATGTGAATTTGCTTCTTTAATAGCTTACAGCTCCTCTGTGAGAAGCAACATAGCATTAAAAAAAATGGTATGGGATTTAATGTCAAATTTGTATTCCATTCCCAGCTGAACTTCTCACGAACTGCATTAACTTAAGCAAACAGCTTCTCTGATTTTCACTTTCCTAATCTGTAAAATGGGATAATAATTCTTTGACTAATGATTTTAATAAAATGTGAGCATTTCAAAGGGTGAAAGGCTATTCCACATGACATAATGTTTTCTCTTTATGTCTTAATTTCCTCATCTGTAAATTTTAAAAGCTGAACTAGATGAAATCTAAGGTATCCTTTACATCTAAAATCTAAGGATCTTTCTTTTATGATAAATAATATATAAAAATAAGCTGAAGTTTAACATTGTTCATTATGCTCTGCCTGGAACCCCCAAAATATAACAATACTGGCCTAAAACTCATATTCCCACATTATCATTGCTGAAAGATGCCCAAAGGGTGGATCAGAAGAAAATGGCACGAGTGTTTCCTGAATATGATTTTTTCATGCTCCTTGACTAAGCATCTCAAAAATCTTTGTAGAGATAACCAAGAAAACAACTAGTCAAAGAAAGGAATGTAGGGCTCCTTTCCAGCCAAATTAAGGGACAAAACTTTGAAAACATACATTGTTACCTACAAAAAGACCTTTCCTTATTCCTTTATTTTACTATTTCATCCTTTTCATATAAACTTGTCTGAAATACAGTAATGTACTTTGTTGGAGGAAGAAATGCCTTACGCTCTTCATAGAACAAAAGGCAAGCTTTAACCTGTCAAACTGAAAGAAGGCCAATACGGAGCCCGGGTTAACAAGGGAAAGTAACAGGGCATAAGGTCAGAGAGAAAGTGAGGGCCCAGAAAATATAAAACTAGATAGACCACAGAGAGATGTCTGAATTTTATTTCAAAAGGAATGAGAAGCCATTGGAGAGCTTAAGCATGAAAATCACATGATCTGGTTTTACATTTTACAAGATCGCTCTGGTTGTTATATGGAGACTAACTGTGGTGGGGTGGGGATCAGAGAATAGGGAGAGAAGAGAGGAGTCTGAAAGACGAGATGAGACCGTACCAAAGAAGTTCAAAGAGATGACAGTTGTTTGGGCAAGGATGATGTGACAAAGTCATGAACAGTGGTCAGATTCAGGGTATGTTTTGAAGATAGGGCTAATGGAACATACTGACGGACTGGATATTTGCAGTAAGAAAAAGGAGAAAAACCAAATATGACTACTAGGTTTTAGGACTGAGCAACTGAGTAAACTGGATAGAGCAGGCTTAGCTTACAAAGTTGGAAAAAATGTTGTTTTGGTTGTGTTAGGTTTATAATGCCAATTAAAACATTCAACTGAAGACGTCAAGTGGATATTTGACTGTTGGATATTTGAGTGTGGAATCAAGGGAGAAATGAAAATCTGATAATAAGCACATACATAGACAACATTTAAATTAAATTCAGGGTTAAGGGGGGAAATGAGCTAAAACAAACAAACAAATACAAATTAAATCCAGGGGACTGAATGAGACCGCTTAGGGAGAAAGCATAAATGGAGAAGACAAACTTGACAAGCTCTGAGCCCAGAGGCACTCGAGTTTTTTTAGTTGAGCTGAAGAAGATGTAGTAGAACTGATAAGAAGGAAATGTTGGTTAAGTTGCACAAAAACCAGGAAAGCACGATACTCTGAAGTGAGTATCATTGGGGAGTAGAGGATTGGTCAACTCAGTCAAGCTGCCCAGGTCGTTTCTCATCATGGGACACTATGAATATGTAAAGATACACTGGATTGTCAAAGGAAGTATGTTATATGAACATAAAGTTCTAGTTTAAAAATAATATCCCCACCTCCATTTTAAAAGAAACGTGCTCAATAAAGAAAATCTAGAAAAATACAGGAGTAGAAAGGAGGAAAAAAAAAATGATCTATTCAGATTTTTAGGCCAGGCTCAGTGGCTCAAGCGTGTAATCCCAGAATTTTGGGAGGCCAAGGCAAATCACCTAAGGTCAGGTGGATCACCTAAGGTCAGGAGCTCAAGACCAGCCTGGCCAACATGGTGAAACCCCATCTTTACAAAAAATACAAAAATTAGCCAGGTCTGTGATGGCAGGCACCTGTAATCCCAGCTACTCAGGAGGGTGAGGCAGGAGAATCACTTGAACCTGGGAGGTGGAGGTTACAGTGAGCCAAGATCACCAGCCTGGGTGACAGAGCAAGACTCGGTCTCAAAAAAAACACATATTTTTAGTACTTTTCTTTTTTGTAATCTTTCTTCATTTACAGGGCTTTGGCTTTTGTTTTTTAACTAGTCTAATTATATGGCATGTGTCATTTTATACCTTGCGTCTTTCACTTTCTCATATTGCTGTATATCATTCTTTAAAACGTTTTATAAGAATGTAAGAATAGTTACCCTTTACTGATTACTTGTGATAGGCCAGGTACTATATGAAGGCTGTACAAATGTACTGCATTTAATCTTCACAACAACCCACTAGGCAGTTACTGCTATTATATCAAATTTATAGATGAAGAAACAGATTAAGTAACTTGCCTAAGGTAAGATCAAGATTTGGTTTTCTGTGTTTTTAATAATACATTGTCTAGATAACAGTATTTACTTAATACTCTATTGTGAGAAATTGGTTGTCTACCTTTTTAAAATTGTAATTACACTTTGGTGAGCATCTTTGAACACAAGCTTCTTAAGAATTTAGAATTATTTCCTTAGAATAGATTTCTGGAAATAGAATTACTGGATCAAAGAAGAATTTTTAAGATTTCTAATACTGTCAAATTAATCTCCAAAATGTTTATCCAAATGCATTTTACCACAAAAAAAGAGTACTTTGAAAGTCTACTTTAAGACACAAGGCATAGAAAAACAGCAGAGGGGGTGAAAATAGGACTGTGAAACCATAGTAAGTGGCCACCAGAGGGCAACCTTATCACAGCACTGTTGAAAATAAATTCACCAGAGATAAGAGTGGTTTTATATAAAGTTTGCAGTTTTAAATAAAGTGTTTGCACTCCTTCATATTGGATTCCACTTTCATTATAATTCCAAACAAAGAAACCATTTATTTCTCTCACTACTAGCTGCTTTTAGAAACCATAACCATGAAAGAGTTCTTTTGCCTTAAATTATCTCCAGAGCAAGGACAAGTCAGCACTTACATGACAGTTAAGAGAGCGGCCTCATTGCTGCAAGCAAAATTAAAACTGAGAATCAGCAATGTAGACTGCTTTTTGGTACTGTAAAAGATCTAGGGAGTAATTTAGATCGACTCAGTATGATGAAGCATTCCTGTTGTTACCCAGTATTGAAAATCATCTTTCCTCTGTATGTCTTTCTATTCATTTGTTCATTTATTTGATAAAAATTTAGTTAGCAGTTATTATATACTAAGCCCCAGGCTAGAGATTGTGTATACAATGGTGAAAAAAATCTGATACTGTTCTTTCCCTCATGAGTGAGCAATATGTGACTCATAACCACAAACAAATATACAATTACAAACTGTGAAAAGTGTTATGAAAAAATACAAGTATATGTGAGAACATATAATAGAGAAATTGCCATTGAGCCTACAGCATCAGGAAATGCCTTCTAAAGACGTGGCCTTTAATTAAAGACCCGAGGGAAGAATATGATTTAGTAAGGCAAAGGGATCAAGGATGGAAGTAGAGGTGGATTAGAAAAACCATTCTTGGCAGAAGAAAGATCATATATGAGAACCCTGGGACCAGGGAACATACCTTGTTTTAGAAATAAAAGCCAGTGCGACTGGATCACAGATGTAAAGAAAAAGAACCCTGCTGAAAAAGATAAAACTGGCAAATAGGCAGGGACAAAATTACATAAAAGAAAAAAAAAACACAATTTCTTCTAAATCAATTTGTTTCACTAATAGAATATTCGAATAAAGAATGAGCTTTCAACAGATTTTTCCAGGGTACTTTCAACTTCAAATATTTTGCCACCCTGTTCTCATAAAAACATTTGTACTAGTCAGACTAGTGTGTCCTCATTTTGGGGGCGGGGTGGGGGGAGTTTCCAAGGAAGGATACTTAATCCTTACATTTAGGAAAACTAAAGATCAGAAGTTAATTGGCTTTAGTTCTTAATGGTTTGACTAAATTTACCTAAATGTGGTTTTCTTTGTTTTTATATTGCTTAGGGTTTGCTGAGCTTTCTGAATCTGTGGGCTGATGCCTTTAATCAACTTGGAAAATTCCTGGCCATTTTCTCTTCAGATACCGCTGTGATCCAGTATCTCTTTCATCTCTTTCTGGATCTCTAATTACATTTATGTTAAACTTTTTGATTGTGTCCCACATCTTCCCTGCTCTGTTCTTTCCATTATATTTTCTCAAAATGCTTCAGTTTGGATATTTTTAATTGCACTGTATTCACAGTGAACTTTGTCTTCACTGTGTACAATCTACTGTTAAATTCACGCAATGAGTTAATAATTCACATGTATTTTTCAGTTCTAGTTTTGTTCATTTGATTTTTTAGAGATTCCAATTTCTGTTGAAATTTTGCCCCTCTTCACCTATTTTGCCTGATTTTCCCTCCATTTTATTAAAATACTAATTTTGGTTAAGTCTTTATATGCTAACTCTAACATCTAGATCACCGAAGGGTCTTCTTCCATTGCTCATTTTTTTCTCTTTGGTATTGGTCACATTTTTCTGTCTTTGCATTGTCTAGAATTTTTATTGCATGCTGGACACAGTATATAAAAGAACCAGAGAGGGCTCCCCTTTCATCTGCTGGGTAGATACAATGAGAGAATACTTCAATCCAGTCAGAAGTTGAGGCAGATTGAGGATGGACTGTAATTTTAGTATGAGTTAATCAACTTCTGGTTCATCACTATTTCTTGGTGATGGCCCTGTAAAGCTTTTGACTGACAGCCTAGCAAGCCTGTGTCACCTTAGTCCTAAAAGACTGTGAGAGATTCAGTATTGGCCTTTGGTAGTTTGAGCCTAGGTCCCACTGCATGCACCTTCAGAGTCTGAGAACATCTTGAAGGGGAAATAATTGAATGTCATAGCAGGCCCTCTCTCTCTAAAGGGATTTTGTCTGCTCCACACAAGACTGAAAGATATTTTTTTCTACCTTTCTGGACCAGCCTTCCATCTTCTGCATAGTCAGCTAATATCCTGTGGGAAAGCTGGCCTTGTGTTTAGGGATCCTCTTGTTTCCCACCACCATGCAAGTCTCAAATGACAGCCAAAAACTCTTCTTGTATCTCTTTCCTAAAGAAGAATTCCTTTGCTTGGGTCTAGCTCATTCTTAGCCTATGCTCAGAATCAGCAAATGTCCCCTGGAAAGACAATGGCTGGTGATCATCAATTTACCTATAAAGAGTTCCAACCTTTCTGGAAGTTTAGTTCCTACAGTTCTCCTTGCCTCCATAGCTCTCCAATCAATATGATTTTTGAAATTTATGTACTTTTTCAAGTTTGTCATAGCAGGAGTTTGGCTTGCTATGATCTATTCCATCCTATTTAAAAGATAAAGGCCCTTTCAAACTATTTCAGAAGAATCAATCTATAGCTGAAAGATTTCCAAATGAAAAGAACAGTGGAATAATTACATGAAAAAGCTAAGGAAAGTACATACCTGTGAGGGCATCACAACTGGCAGATCGATTATTGCATTGGCAGGGCAAGCAGCCATTCTTACTAAAGCCATAATAACCATCTTGGCATCGGTCACATGTAGAGCCAATGACACCCACTTTGCACTGGCATTTCCCAGAACTGCAAATAAAAGCAAAGACAATGAATAAAAGTAAATCAGTTTAAAAGTTGTACTGCCTAACATCCCAGAAGGAAAAGAAGGTCCAGTTCATGTAAATCATACACACTTACCATATCTCAAAGCCTTGTGTCCAAAGAAATCACCTATCAAACTCTGTATTGCTATTAAAAGCTGCCTAGTGTATTGCAGAATGCAATTTCTTAGCTAACAAATAATTTTACAGAAAAGGTAAAATGGAGGCATTTGAAAACAGGAGTAATAATTATGATGATGATGATAAAAATAATGAGCTATCATTTATTGAGGGCTTATGTCAATAAATATATTTTTTCTCTAATCCTCAAGGTAATTCTACCTGGTGAGGGTCATAATAGTTATTTTACTACTGAGAGAATTCAGATAAAGTTATTGTCTTCAGCTAGTAAGTAAAGTCTATTCATACAAAGCCAGACTTTTTCCTACCATACTGCCTACTCCTAAGATTGACTGTAAATTGGTACAAGAAATTTGTCTGCCAAATAATTTGATATCCACTTGGGTATCAAGTTTCATTCTGTGGATCCAAAGCATTACAATTCACCATCGATATAGGTCCTGACTCCAGTGATGGTGTTTCTACCCTGTTCAGAATAAATCTTGGTCTCTTTTCTCACCACAAGTAAATTTCAGGTCTTTTTTTTTTTTTTTTTTTGTGAGACGGAGTCTTGCTCTGTCGCCCAGGCTGGAGTGCAGCCGCCTGATCTCGGCTCACCACAACCTCCACCTCCCAGGTTCAAGTGATTCTCCTGCCTCAGCCTCCTGAGTAGCTGGGACTACAGGTGTGTATCACCATGCCTGGCTAATTTTTTTTGTATTTTTAGTAGAGATGGGGTTTCACCTTGTTAGCCAGGATGGTCTCAATCTCCTGACCTCGTGATCCGCCTGCCTCAGCAAAGTGCTGGGATTACAGGTGTGAGCCACTGCGCCTTGCCAAATTTCACGTTTTTAATAAAGGCTGAGAAATCTTATTGCTTGAAGAGAAGCTGCAGCCTAACAAAGTCCAAGGTTCTCAGAGATACAAGCCCAAATATTTTGAGGTTTAACACTTAATTAAAATTTGTACTGATCATAGTATAGAATATGAGCACTGTTTTTAAAAATGCAACAAAAATTTACATTATCTAATTTGTGCTATCAAGCATGAATCTATGAATTATAAGTAATTAAGCAAAGAAGGAAAGAAAAGAAGCCACATACATATACACAGTCTTACACAAGAGTATCCCAAGGTACTTAAAGATCTATCAAAGAAAACCTCTATTCATAAAAAATAAAATTCGGCAATATTTTATGATTCAATAAGAAGGAACCAGTCAATTGAAGCCCCTCTATATGATCAGAAAATTATAAAAAACATGATGTACCTTTCAAAGAATGGTTAACAACACTTCATTAGTGTATTTCCAAGGCTTTAAAAATGTTAATCAAAATATGCTTACTCCTCATTCCTCTAAATACATTATTCAGTATACAAAAGGATAAACAGCTACTTTCAATGATGGTGTTTGCCCAACCCACAACCTACAAGAAAGAGGTATTACTTTCAAACACAAAATCACTTAATAATATTGTATAACCATAATATACCCAATGTTCCCGAAGTAGTTGCTATTCCTAAAGTGGGTTTCCCCATCATAATTCTGCTTGGGGTACAAAAAGACTTTCTCTACGGAGGATCTGCTCCTTAATTGCTGATTAAAAAAAAATCATGAGTGACTTCATGAATCCTGATTAAGTAGTTGTCTGAGTGTACATACTATGCTTTATTTTTTCCTGGGCAATTTTTTTTTTTTTTTTTTTTTTTTGGTAGGGTCTCATTTAGTCCTCCAGAATGCAGTGGCATGATCTCGGCTCACTGCAGCCTTAATCTCCTGGGTTCAGGTGGTCCTTCTGCCTCAGCCCCCCAAGTAGCTAGGACTATAGGTATGCACCACCACACCTGGCTAATTTTTGTATTTTTTGTGGAGACAGGGTTTTGCCCTGTTGCCCAGGCTGGTCTCAAACTCTGGGGCTCAAGTGATTGACCTGCCTTGACCTCCCAAAGTGCTGGGATTACAGGTATAAGACACTGCACGTGACCAGATTTTAAAACAGCAGGGGGAAAAAAAAGGTGCTTTTCTCTTTTAAAAGAAAATATAGGCTGGGCATGGTGGCTTATGCCTTTATTCCAGCACTTTGGGAGGCTGAGGCGGGCAGATCGCCTGAGGTCAGGAGTTTGAGACCAGCCTGGCCAACATAGTGAAAACCCGTCTCTACTAAAAATCCAAAAAAATTAGTTGGGCGTGGTGGTGTGTGCCTGTAATGCCAGCTACTTGGGAGGCTGAGTCAGGAGAATCACTTGAACCTGGGAGGGGGAGGTTGTGGTGAGCCAAGATCGTACCACTGAGCTCCAGCCTGAGCAAGAGAGCAAGACTCCGTCTCAAAAAAAAAAGAAAAAAAAGAAATCACTCAGCAAATATAAAACTTTGCCTGTGTGACTTCTTTCATAGAATAAAGACTTTACAAACTCTCTTTCATGGTCTTTCTCTGTTAAAGACTTGAATGCTTTCTGAAGCAAAGGTCAATGATATAAATGCAATGAAACCAAAAAAGAGAAAAAAAAAACAGGATGTTAACAGACCACTTATGCTTATCCATAGATTTGAAATGAAAGAACAAAATTCCACGCTTCATAACTGGAGAATAAAGGCATAGAACTGGATTTTAAATAAAAATCAGACATCTATATTGTTGAGATCAGCTAACAAAGAATTTAAGATAAAATTTGCTCATCTGTTTTTTGTTTTGTTTTGTTTTTAGATGGATTTTCACACTTCTCGCCCAGGATGGAATTCAATGGTGTGATCTTGGCTCACCAGAACCTCCACTTCTCGAGTTCAAGAGATTCTTCTGCCTCAGCCTCCCAAGTAGCTGGGATTACAGACGCATGCCACCACACCCAGCTAATTTTGTATTTTTAGTAGAGACAGGTTTCTCCATGTTGGTCAGGCTGGTGTCAAACTCCTGACCTCTGGTGATCCACCTACCTCGGCCTCCCAAAGTGCTGGGATTACCAATTTTTTTTTTTTTTGATACAGAGTCTCACTCTGTCACCCACGCTGGAGTGCAATGGCGTGATCTCGACTCACTGCAACCTCCGCCTCCCAGATTCAAGCGATTCTCCTGCCTCAGCCTCCTGAGTAGCTGGGACTACAGGCACATGCCACCACACCTGGCTAATTTTTTGTATTTTAAGTAGAGACAGGGTTTCACTATGTTGGCCAGGCTGGTCTTGAACTCCTGACCTTGTGATTTGCCCAACTTGGCCTCCTAAAGTGCTGGGATTACAGGTGTGAGCCACCATGCCCAGCCTGGTCTCATTTCTTTTTTTTCTTTAATGACGAGTTGCTAGTAAACTATTAAGATAGCACAAAAATTGTATCAGAAAAAAAGAATACAGAATTATAAGCATTGTGGAGCTACGCTGCATTAAATATAACTATGCATACACTACACATTTCTTAAATTACCCCAAATGGGATTCTCAGATTTTCTTGTGGTAGTAATGCTCAGTTATAGAATTTACATACTCATGGGTATGAACAACCCCTGCAAGGTTTTAACACTTTAGAAAAAAGGTATTTTTAAGTGTATATAAATAATAATATATTTTACAAAATTAATACTCATTAGTTTTTTAAAAGAAAATTCGTTGGTGTATCGTCTCAAGATATGGTACATATCTATGTTACATGAGTACAAGCCAAATTATCTTTTTTTTTTTTTTTTTTTTTTTTTGAGACGGAGTTTCGCTCTTGTTACCCAGGCTGGAGTGCAATGGCGCGATCTCGGCTCACTCACCGCAACCTCCGCCTCCTGGGTTCAGGCAATTCTCCTGCCTCAGCCTCCTGAGTAGCTGGGACTACAGGCACGCGCCACCATGCCCAGCTAATTTTTTGTAGTTTTAGTAGAGACGGGGTTTCACCATGTTGACCAGGATGGTCTTGATCTCTTGACCTTGTGATCCACCCACCTCGGCCTCCCACAGTGCTGGGATTACAGGCTTGAGCCACCGCGCCCGGCATGCCAAATTATCTTTTTAAAGATTCTGTTCTGTTTAAGATAAGTGGGTGGAGAAGCTTCAGAATTTTCATTATTTTATAATCACATTGATTAGGTGGAATGGGTATAATATAGAAAAGGAGTATCAGGGTTTATGGAAAGAAAAAAAAAAAAAACAGCCTGAGGAAACAGAGTTTGGTTCATATTCCAGCTCTACTAGTGACTAGCTGGCAAAAAATACTTAGTCTCTCTCAGCTTCTGTATTCTCATTTGTTAAGTGAAGACAATTATACCAACCTTTGTAGGGTTATTGTGAGAATTAAATATTGCATTCACAACAAATTTAGCACAGTGTCTGGCACATACTCAGTACTCAACAATGAAAGCAACTAAGAAGATAATGATCCTAGATCTTAAATACAGTGATCCTAGATCTTAAATATTTTCTGAGAATTCTAAGGAAAGTAGGCCAGAATTCCCAGTAAGCAAAGACAGGGGAAACTAAGTTACTTACTTTTAAAATGTAGATAAGTAATTTTAAATTTTAAAATTCTGTTAATAAAACTAAAAAAAAAAAAGCAAAAAATTAAGGGATAATTACTAGTTTATAGCAAAAATATGGCTAGGAAAAGAGAGCACATTATAAACACATAGTAGAAACAGTTTTTGGGAAAAAAAATTTAATTGTGAAGAGAAAGCATCTGCAAAATCCTACATTGAGTGGAATCAAAGCCAGCTGGACCTGACTTGCTTTTCTACCAACTAGTTAATGATTTATTTATAAATTTTTAAATGTCTTGACATGTTTTTTGTTATCAAGAAAGTCTATTTTCTTCCTAAGATTTACAAGATATAAAGTATGTGTGTATATATATTTTTAGGGATCATATTATCAATTTACACTCACGCAGTTACAGAA